ATCATGTTGTGATTGTCCAATGTCCACCAGCTAATCCTAACCTAACCTAACGACCAGTGCCTAGGAATTTTCCTTGCTCTAGCGCTGTGGCTGATGGCGTCTATTTGACCAGTCGGTAAAACATTGTCGACGGTTATCATCGAAGAGTGTTCTCTTAAAATTTAATCAAAATTGCCAAATTATAGTACTTTTACGTACGATCTCACTCTTTGGATCGTACATCGTACAAAGATCTATATTATCGTATTTGTACGATCAAGATCGTACGGTTGGCAACGCTGCTTCCAACTGGATTATTTATTAGCGTTTTCGGCCCGGCCAGGTTTGCACCAACCTGGGTTGGATTAATTGCCTTTTGTGTTCTTCTATTGGTAGAGCGAATGACGTCAACCAATAGGAAAGATTAATCCAACCCAAGTTGGTGCAAACCCGATCGGGCCGAAAACGCTATATGTTCCACTCAAACGGACGCCGTGTCAACGCAACGAACGCCGCCTTCACGCGGCAAGCGGCATCAGAAACAGAAGCCCCTAGAATGTAGTTCCTTCTAAAGTGCCGCGCTGCCGCGAGGGGCATTTGCCGCGTCCATCAGTAGGCACCTTAACGAACACAACGCGTATATCACTGCGCGTGCTAACTTGCCAAGACACTGCCATGTCTTCTGATTCTAGTCTAGTATTTTCCGGTCTAGTACTTTTCTGAGATTCCGTTTTCCGAAATTCGACTGTCATGGGACAGCACTCTAAGGGTGCCGTCACATGTGGCGTAACTTGCGTAAGCGTAACTTGCGCCAACCAATCATATCATTTCACTTGAACATCAGTTTCTGCCTAGTCACTTTATGCTTTTTACGCTATTTTGTTGTTACGCCGAAACATGATAGAACCAGTATGCGTCGAATCTAATTTCTGGCTCATTTTAGCTTATTCTGTCTGAAAAAATGCACAAGGGTTTCGATTTTGCAACAGTACAATTATAAAAGTCGTGCGCCCCTTTGCATCGCGTGAAAAGTCGAAACCCATGTGGAACAGTACAATTATAGACCTCATTTTGCCTCTGTGACAGATTTCCTAACCTCAATAGTCATCAACTTTAAA